CTGAGTCACTGTACTAACTAAAACTATAAAAAATTCTATAACACACACAAAGCACACACAGGTGGCCCCTTAAATTCAAGCAAATTTACATACTGGTCTGAAAACATTTACTCATTTTGCAAATATTAAGAAAAAAGTATTGCCGAATTCAAAAACTGTATCACACATAGCTGCTATATATTTTCTTATATAACTTTATGACTTGGTATTAAACCAAGGTATTATGTTTGTGACAACATGAAACTGGTAATAACTCACGTTGTTATCTTGCTACATATTGCACTCTATCTTCAAATATAAGAATTTCTTTTTAAACTAGTAGAGATGGAAAGAGTCCACTTTCTTTACATGCAGTATCCATTTCGTAGCTGAGACATTCAGATTGAAATCAGCTCTTGTACGTCATTCCGAACTTGTTCCCATCATTGCCATGTACAAATACCTGGACTAACTCAAAATGAGAGCCTGGGTAACAGTAGGATAACTTTGATGGAATGCCATACTTGTCCAAAGGTAACTCAGGCAATCTCCAAAAATCATGGTGTCTTCCTCCAGCAGTGGTAATACTGTTCTGCTTATTAAATTAATATTATTTTACTTATTAAACAACATAAAACACTTAAAAAAATACACTTTTACAAAATAATCTGATTCTTTGCATTAATTTTTATATTCATTTTCAGAGCATCTTATTTCTCTGAGGTGATAACTGCCCAATATGAAGGAATGGTGAAATATCTTAAATGTCCCTGAAAATTCAGCTCAATGGCTGACTGATGAGATGAGCAAACTTATCTAGTCAAAGACATGCCTTTTGGCTTAATAGAAGAAAGCCTTCATGAGAAACCGAGGGAACTAGGGAAGGGCACCCATCTTCTACTGTAACGAAATAGGATGACAGGGTCTTGTGCTGCACGCTGCCTTACAAGGGGTAACCACGGTGAGAGCAGACGAGCTGCTGAACAGGATCTTAGTGAGGGCAGAGAGATAGAGAGATCACCTGCACTCACAGACTCTGCAAACCCTTCCTGACCCTTTCTTAGGAAGATATGGTTGCTCCACAGGGACGTAGTGGCGTATCCACTTCAAATTTTTATGACAAAATACTATTCTGGTCTGGGATCTGCTAAGTTTTCTGATTTTTCAAACCTTCCCAATTTCTTAATAGCTGAAAATCCTTTTGACAATGTTAGGGCTTTTAAATATCATACGCAGCATAGAAAACCTTTCTGTATCAGCATTTACAGAGCTACAGGACCGTTTGTTTCTTCCTTCTTCCACTCAAAAATATACCTAAAATAAACCACCTTCTGAAATAACAGAAGATTATTTAGCTTCTAGAAATCACTACTATGAATTTCTCTCCTTTGATCCTTAGTTTACTACTTGGTTTTATTAAATGTCAGTCACTGACAGTGAAATCTTGAGGTATTATTTAAGCAAATGTACTGAAAAACACATGATCCTGGGAGAAGCACCCTAGATTCCTGTTGTGGTAAAGATGTCAACTGGAAGAACTAAAAAAACTGTAATAATATAAATAAAAAAAAAAGAAAAGAAAAGAAAAACAAACAAACAAACCCCACACAACAACAAAAAAATACCACTAAGCCTTCAGGTCGAAAGACAACTTTCAGTGGCTGATTTGAAGAAAAATAAGTTAACTTGATCCAACCTCCTTAATAACCAGATGTTTGCAATCATCAAAAATAGATCTTTAGCTGAAACAATTTCTCTGTTCCAAAGGATTCAGTTTCTAAGAGCATTTACATAACAATATGTGACATCTGAAATGCTTAAGGCCACCAACCATGGCAGTACAAATTACAGTCATTTTTCAATACTCTGTGCAAGGTGCACCACTTCGAGCACTGGGATTGGTTGCATGCTGCGTTGGTTTCTGCGGTGAGACATGATCAGCATGCACCACAGTCACAAACAGTTTGTAGCCTTTGGAGATTCATGCTAATAGGTAAAAGAGGCTGATCTCCTTACCCGCCGTAGGCTGGAATTGGAGGGGGGGGAGCTGCTGCACGAAACGTATTGTACACCGTGCGACCTCGGCCTCTTAGATGTGCACCTCTGTAAGCAGCAGCTGCAGTTGCAGCAGGGTAGGGAAATCCTGGCACTGTGAAGAAGAAAAGAGGAACCAATGTAAAATATTCAGACTAACCTAGTGTTTTAAAACAAGGGTAACGCAGCAGCATGTTTGTGCTTATATTAAAGCTTGCCTGTAACTGGATGAGGGAGTCGCCAAACAAGTAAACTATTAGCCTTTTAACCAGAAGCCTTATAATTTTACACAAAATCTCTGCAGGCAAACAGGAGACAGCAAACGGGGAATTTAGATGCCAGTATCATTGGTGGCTCTGACTCTCTTAGAAGACAGTATTTTAGCCAACACTGCTACCAGGAGCCTCTTGAGGTCCAAGACACCCCGTTCAGGCTCTAACTTACAATGCCAGAGACATTTCCATCACATTACTGGATCTGTCTTCAAAAGTCAGCCCTGCTTTGAGTGCAGGTGAGAAATTAGACCAGGTGACCTCCAATGATCTAAATTATCCAGTGATTTTAGCAGCAGAGCTTTATTTTTGTTCAAAAGTTGATTATTAACTGGGTCTTAATTGTATACCAAGGGCAAAAATGACACAGATTTTGGGGGTGTAGCTTGTTCACAACAGTACCCATTATTCCTTCAAACACAAGAGTTGCATAGTTTGGAAATAGGTATCTGAATCCAGAAAATTCAGACCAAATAGAAACAATTTAGACATATAACAAAATAATTAACTCAACCATTTTTATATTGTCATTGCAACTAACTGTAAACATTAATTATCATTCCATGTGAGACTTAAAATATTTTAATCAGAAATAGAACAGTAACACAGTACTACTTAGAGGGGTTTTTTCTGTAAAATGTCTGTAAAATTTCTTTCCTCATAAACTTTTTAATTGAAAAATAATAAGAAAACCCCTTCCACTTTACTTTCTCTGCCAGTTTTTTTAACCAATGCTTCATTAATTAATTTCTCCTTTGTACATATATTGCTGTCCAACATTAGAACAGGTATTTTTTTAATGAATTCATCAGTGAGACAAGAGAAAATCAAATCCAGCTATGTTGGCACTCTGGTTACTTCAGTTGTGCTTCACTGTGTTGAATTTATTTCAGTATGTAAAAAAATTATATAAGAAATAAGTATTGCTTAGCAAAGCCCTAATAGGAATCAAGAAAGTGGAAGTAATGATGTATAAACTAGTAAGTTTTTCAAGTCTGAAATACGAATTTATTTCAATCCACATTTGTCTTTCATCTGTTTTAGCATTAAATTTTAAAAGAAGCCTTGAATTTGAAAAATATGTACGATATTGCCAGCTGAACATATGAAGGAAAATACTGTGATTATGGTGACATCTCCATTATTGCCTTACTACTGTAACTTTTGGGCTTTGCTAGGTCCTTCTCACTGAAAAAAAGGTTATACAGTAATTCTGCACAGATTTACATGGCTGATACAACATAAGACAAGCTTATGGCAACACAAATAATTAAAACAGTCTTAAAAAAGTGCAAATACCATTATTTTTATTCCTCTTTCTGTAAGAAGAATGTGTGTCAAAATCAGAATGACGAACTTGCAGAACTCAGTATACTGTTGATAACTTTGCAATCAACTGCATTTAAGGAGCCTTAAAGAAATAGAGTCATGGAGAGAATTTTTTGGGAGAAAACTGAACATATAGATCATACACTTGAAATTTGGATGCTGTAAGTACTTTTGCATAGGCAACAACATTGAATATTGAACAGTATAATGCAGTAGTGCTAGAATCATGACCTACTGCTCAAACCACGTAACTTTTGTCCTTTTCCTTTCCAAGTAAACAATCTTGCATACAAATTAGTACTATGTGCATATGAAGATGTAAACGATAATTTTCAGTGGACTGAAGATATAAGCAAAGATTATAGCAAAAAGATCTACAGACTGCCCTGTAGCTCCTCTGACAGAGTAGACTGTCTCCCCATACTAACAGCTAAATAAAAGGACAAATGCTTTAACAAAATTTCATAGCTGGAAGTTAGCAATACATGAGAAAAACATGAGGGACAGACATCATGGTGTCACTGTTCACTTCTGCCCCTTAGAGAATGTATTTGTGAGTGCCACATGCTGGAGACTTCCTATCCTGGCTTTAATTAGGTGATGGATATAACATATATTTTAAATGGTCACTTATCGTGACTATAATCATGTCTGTTACTTCTGCAACAGAAACAATTACGTGGACTAATACTCTTCAGCACAGAAAGGAGGTGAGTATTGGAGCTATGACAAAGCTCCACAAACGTGAATAATTGAGAAAATATGGGGAAAAAAGTGGCTCTTCACACAACCTCTAATTAAGCCGCTACAGAACTTTTTGCCACTGGGTGTTACGGATGTTAAAAGTTTAAAAATGTATAGGATTGAAAAGGATAAACAAACAGTTTCCCTGCAGAGAAACAGTATAAACACCTCTGATGTACAAAAACACTCCAAATTGTAGAAAGCTAACAGATTGTTCAAAGAACAATATACCTACACACTTGTAACGTCTCTTTAGGCATCTTTGTTATTATAAGAGTAATATTTAGCTGCAGTCTGCCTGCATTAGAAAAATTACTTCTTTCCACCTAGTAGACGGTAATTTCTAGAAGTAAGTTTATCCAACAATTTGTGAGTTAATTTGTGCCTTTTTTTAAAATCATGCAAATAAATTAATAAAAAGAAACAAACCCAACAAAACACTGCTGCGAAAAGTCTGCTTAAGCAAAAGGGGAAAAATGGACTTGAGAGTCTGGCCAGGAAGAATTGCTATCCGAAATGGTGTCTATCTTAAATGACAAACCTGAAGGTTGGTATTCTGTAGTTAGCTTTAAAAAACTGTAGTCTTTAGGGACACTCTTAAACTGCCAAGATTAAGAGACATTTCTCTGATGTAAAAGCCACTGAGAGAAAATTAATGATGTCTGACAAACTTTGAGCCATCTGGACAACTTCTTCACTTACATGTGCATCTAGTTCTCTACATATTGACAGAAAACACACTTTCACAAGAAAAACAGAAGCAGTGGTAAAGAAAACCAAGACAATTCAAAGAAGTCTAAGCTCAAGCAACGTAAGGTATCTAAGAATGTTGTAGGCTTGCAATACATGGTCTGGAGCCTCCTGCTCTAGGATCTGTTTCAGCAATTAATTCTTTGTAAGTAACACCTACGTTTGGCAACATTTAAAGCACTTGTCTTCTTTCAGCGAAACACTCAGGGTCTTAGACAATCTTTCTGCTGTAAAATGTACTGTTGAAAATTAACTCGCCAATTCCCCCAAACAGTCACACATCTTATACATGTGTGTGAAGAATGGACCTATCTCTTGATTTTCAGAAGAAATGAGCAAATATAGGTCTTAATAAAACCAATTAGTTGTGCAGATGTTGTGTGGGAGACACTGAGGATACACCTCTGTGAAAGCATGAATTTCTAATCTGGTTATTGATCATTTTTTTTTCCTTTGAATTGTACCATTCAATCCAGCATTCACATAGACATACTAAAATATATCTTTTGCAATAATTGGGCATTTATCCTAAATACTCATTATTCTTCACAGTGGCTACACCTTTGAAAGAATTACAAGGGCCACTAACCTTAAATCTTTGACAGTGAATGGTTCTCTACAAATAAATGTCACTGGAAAAGCAGAGTGCCTCTATCAATGAATGAGTAAAAAAGAAAAAAAAAATTTCAAAAATACTATTACATTTTTACGAGAAAGAAGGCTTTCTCTTATGAAAGAGGAGAAAAAGCTAGAAGACAGAGATAGCAGGAAGAGTCATTTAGCCCATAAGTGTTTCCCAAATGCAGAATCTGTAACGGAGGCTCAGCATTCATGGGAAATGCTAAGACAGGACAGTGATTTCTACCATTTTCAAAGGATCTGCAACACAAAGGATGTGTTAGAATGAAAAGCCTGAAATAATGTAATTGTTTTGCTATGCTTGCCTTGCATTGTCTCCTTAATAAAATCATGAAGCATAAAATGTCTAGAGTAAAGCAAAACTCTTAAAAAAGTTTGTAGAAACAATTACTAGAAGGTAGAGCAGTGATTTGGAGTTCTGTCAGGAAGAGAATAAGACATGATGGAAAGTAAGCGTGGGAAATATGGAAATGAGAGTGGCATTGCAAGGTCTGATGATCAAGTGAGGTCTAAGAGTAGGGTTTATATGTAACAGTATTATATCCATCCCAAAAAATTGATTTTGGTCAGTCTGAAAATCAGAGTATCTGAAAACATGCCTTCTATTTCCACGTAGGAATATTAAAGATTAAGATTAGAGGTAAAATAATCAACAAGATCATGTCACCCATGATTTGAGTTCAGAAGGGGAAAAAAAAAAAAAAAGATTACTTCAGCCCCGGTGCGAAATCAGATGGTTAGGAATATGTAATAACCACTGAATTTATTTTGCTACGAACTTTTTAATATCCTCACCCCAAAATAACCAGCAGAAGTGGCACTATTAGAACACAACTGAAGAATGGACTTCATAAAAACAATTTTATGAAAAGGGCTCTCGCGTCAGGAAGCATTAAGTGCTATTAACCAGCCCCAAAAGTAATGAATACTAGCCAGGAGGGGTAAAGATTTTAATGACTTACAGTTTGTAGGTCAACCTTCCTTGGTGCCTCAGTGCCAAACTGCTGAAACTCAGTCAGTGAAAGTGCTATTATAATGGGATTGAAAACGTGTTTGACTCTCAGCAGGGAAGCATCTGAGTCCACTTCTACTTCTAAGTGAAAGTACCTTGAATTTATCAAACTCATTTGATGATTGCAATTTTGATCTATGATAGGGAAAACGCAGGTTTCTCCAACAAGGTGATGATATGAAGTTAAAAAAAAAAAAAGACTTTTCTAAGGACTATATATAATCAAATATCAAGCCAAAGAAACAATTCACATTCTCATCTGATAGCCCCATCACTTCTGTAGTTATTCAAATATGAATGAGACTACAATGGCAACAACAAAAAATCAGTTCCTCAGTGGAATTGCAATTTTACTTTTTCAAGTTGAAA